TGTCCGCCCTCCCATTTTCCTCTGTACTATTTCACTAAATGATCAGTTACAGCAAAAGGAGTCCAGATATGACAAAGCTAAAGCTTGAAATCAATTCGCTTTGATATCCTCGGCTACTGGCTTCTATGCATCGCCCGGGCTCTCGCGCTGTCCTGCTTCGATCCTAGCCCGGATCGTTGTTATACGAACACACGAGGTCAGCAAGCAGGCTCGGAACATGTCACTCAATGCAGATGCGCCAGGATCTGCTCAGCTGGGTTCATGTCCTCAAACCAAGATCCCAGCACATCAAAGAGACCATGCCAAGCCGAAGGAGGGCTGCCGGTTCGGGTTATTCCTCTTGGGGACACTAACATACGGCCGCTGCAGATACGCAGCCTGCCAGTTTATTTTGCCGTTCCTTCGTGACTACGAGTGCTACTTCGTGCTTGAGCTTTGAGGATCAATAACATCATGCCTAGGCCGCCACATCATCATCGCATGTACTCCTCCAACCAGATTGAGCAGGGCCTGCAGAAGAACACCCCAACACGAGCCTTGCTGAGAACGAATCAATCGGCGATGATATGTCAATATGCAAAGACTGTGATATACCCTCTGCTGATCACGTCTCCAATCCTTGTTTTTCCTTGTCCTTTGCACAAGGCTTTATACAGTACATGTTCCCCTCCTTGCCATTGTCTCTCGTAACTCTTTGGCGACATCTACTACGTTGATTTGCGCTCGACGACGTCTACCACGTTGGTTCCACTCAACACGAATTGCATGGTGGCCAACCGCCCCATTGGCGCGCCTCAGCGACGAGCAGGCTGAAGCCACAACTCGCCTCTTTGACGGCTGGGGCTGTCGTGATGGAGGTTGGAAAGTCAGACGGACGAATATGCCAAGCTTGCTGGACGACTAGGTGATATCTGCGTACTCCAACTGGGCCAACGGATGAAAGGCCGGCGATCCGAGGTTATGGCTCTCAAGGCTACTGTTAGTTTGGGACCAATTCACCGGTTTCACGTCCAACATACAGTTTGGGAGCCCGGAAATACTTGCCGTTCCTTCGTTTGCTACTATAGGGCTCTTTACTAGGTTTGACGAAGAATAAGTGCATGTTTTGCCTCATGATATACCCAAGTAGGTAAGCATCTATAATATCTCTCTTCCTAAGCAGATGTTTACTCTTCCCCCCTTGTATCTTTTGCCTCACTCCCACCCATCCCTTCATCAATCGCACCCCTACGCAACTTCCCCTTCCCCTTCCCTGCCTTCATCCCGAAAATACCTATCAAATAGCAACGTCGAAAACCTTAAGGTGCATATACGCCATTGCCCTGAAAGCAAGAAGGAAAGGCAAAAAGCCCTCCCGCATTATACTCCAGCCTAGTTGACCGGTACCCGCTACTCCAAACCAAAAAACTTTCCCCAAGTTTTGCTATGTTCCCACAATTTCCCCAAAGAAAAATCAAGCCTCAGTCTAGAAAGCAAACGCTCATGTACTGTATTTGTGTGTGTGTGTGTGTGTGTGTGTGTTCTATTCGGCCGAAACCCGTATGCTGATAGGGCGCTTTTTCTCTATCTTCGTTGGGGAGGAAAGGAAACCCCAGAGTTGCTGCAGAAGTTTTTCTCGGATCCTTTTTTTGCCACAAGCTGGTATTGGTGTGTGTTCTGTATCCTCGGCCCATCTGACCGCCACCCACGTCTGCTTTCCTCCCACCCTTCTTTTCTTTTTGCTCAAGTACAAAGAGAACCGTTTCTAGTAGGAGAAGCCGGAAAGAACAAAGGAAAGCCCAATTATTGTACCCCTTGAAATTCCGCTTCAAAACGCCACTCCTCGCCCAAGGGAGTTCATACCAGCCAATAGACTCCCATGCCCAAGGAAATTCGTGAGAGCATCAACCGTTGTTTTCAACTCCAAGCCACATCGTGTATGCCAGTAGCCAAAGAAAAAAGAATAAAAGATGAGAAAAGTAAGCACTTGATGAATAATAGGCCAAACAAAATCTGTCTTGTAAAAATGAAAGAAAAAAAAACCCCCTTGGATAGCATTTTGTCGTGTCATTCAACAAAATGTTTTGTAAGAAGCGGAGGGGTATACACCTCCGGCAATGTCTCCTTGAAATAATGTTCCGTTCCTCTCTGGGACTGTTTTTGTGCCATTGAGGCCTGCAATGTTCGCTGTCCGAAATGTTCTTAGGGGGGAATGTTTCTTTGATTGGCCTGGGCAGGGGTTGTCCAGCTGGGCCATGTGCCCGACTCGAGCAAAAGGGGTCCTATACGCTGCGGCTTCGGCGCCTGCTTGCCCAATCGCCCTGTCCTTGAGCGTCAGGCCCCCATTCGCTTGAAGAAAGATCGCCGTCACTGATAGACGAAGACCTAGATCTCCTGTTGGGGCTGGTAATGAGCCGAGTTGGGTCGACAATCTCGGCATTTCGTTCTCTAAGCAAGCTGGGTACCTGACGTCTCCTTGCGTTGATAAACCAGTTGGAGATTTGATCTAGTTCAAGGGCCGGTTAGTTTTCAAGACACAGATGGGTGATCGAATTGTGCAAAAGCAACTTACTCATCTGAAGTCCAGTCGTGCGCATGAGCTGCTGCTTCTCATCCTCCGTGGGATAAGGGTGGTGCAGATGTGCGTTGAG